AGAAATAGGGAGAGGTTCTGTGCACTGGTCCTCGCACGCCGAAGGGGAGCAGTGGCGTTGGTGCCCTCTGAGGGCATACTCACCTGCCACCCCTTCGAACACTAGCACCTTGTGCCCTGCCTTCTGGCTCATCGCAGCCAGTCCCCTGCTTCAGGGGCCAGGAGTGAAACTTGGCTCAGTTGGTTGCTGGGTGCTTTGCTCCACCCAAAACTATCGTTTCATGCATGACTTTTCAGGAGCTGGTCAAAGGGAAAAGGCAAGCTTGTCTACCCCTTGGGCAAAAGAGTTGAGGCCTTTTGGCAAGCTTTCCAGCTTGCAGGGACCAGTTTGATGCTTCTCAGCATGCTTGGTGCACTCCTGCATCTCCCATGGTCGTGCAGTGCTGGAGCCGTGGGATTTCCAGCCTCTGTGGAGGGAGGGTCATATTTCATCTTTTCTCCATCTTTTCCCGTTCTAGCAGCCCAGTGCCTTCTGCTCCTTGTTTGTGTGCTGGTCTTGGCTGCCCCAGGCCACTCCATGCCTATACAAACCCTAAACATCTTCAAGAAATCTCCCTCCAACGCTTCGGCGAGTGCTCTGAAGAACACCAGTATGTAGCATCCCGTGGGCTTCACAGTGCTCTCACCAACCCCTTTCAGTTCCTTGGTCTGGGTCAGCCCTGGCTGGTGAACAGCCCCAGCTCATGCTCTGTGCCAGTGGAGGCTTGGTAAAATGACACTTGGGAGAGGGTGTGCTATGATGCCTCGGATCCAAAAAACACTTCCATTGCGTATACAGGCTGGGGAGAGGCGGTATCAGCCCCTGGCTTTGCTCAGATGGGGAGAGGAGCACTGCACTGAACTGCAGTGGGAGGTCCTGCAGCAAGCGAGCTGAAGGCATGGGGAAACCAAACCTGCCAGCATGGGGGGATGCAGTGTTGTGTGCTCATGTATGGCCAGCTCTGGGTGGGGAAGGGCCCTACACCATCCCTAGCCCCGGCCCTGCTCCAGGATGGAGGATGGTGGATGTCAGGAGGTTTACTCGATGCAGGCTGCAGTGCTGCGTGTGTGCATATGTGTCTGTGTGTGCACACCATGCAGACTCATAAGGGTGTCTGTGTGCTTGAAGGGGTCATTTTTCTCCTGTTCTCTCAGTCACAGGCAGGGGCAAGGTCCTCTTCATCTTCCTCCCCAGCGTGACCCTGTTTTAGTGACACAACCCCTTTTTCAGGAGACCCAAAGGAGCCCACTAGCGTCCATATCAGTCTCCTGGCCTGAAACCAGCATAGCCCAGTGGGTCTGGGGACTTTCACTGGGGCTGCCTGCTGTTAGGTGTCCCATATGGAAGAGGAACAGAGGGCTGAGGCCAGCCCACTCTCACCTCCAGCCAAGCACATTCACCTCTCTGGGCTGGGACAGCTGGGTATCCCCCAGGTACTCTGGCCAGATGTCCCTCTATCTCCGACAGGGTGAAACATGGTCTTGTCCTGTTGCAGAGGCTTTCGTTAAATCACCCTCTCTCCTGCCCCAGGTTGGCCCAAGGACTGCAGCAAGGTCCCCGCTGGCAGCCCCAGTGGTGTCTACATCATCCAGCCCACGGGACTGCACCCCATCGTGGTGTACTGTGAAATGAATGAGACGGACGGGGGCTGGACGGTCATCCAGAGGAACCGGCAGAGCACGGAGATCACCTGGGCCGAGTCCTGGAGCACCTACAAGTACGGCTTTGGGAATGTGCACACCGAGTACTGGCTGGGCACCGAGTACATCCATCAGATCTCCAAGCAGAAGGTCTACCAGGTCAGGTTTGTCATCTGGGATGCGGCAAACAACATCAGGTTCGCAGACTACAACCTCTTCAGTGTGGAAGATGAGTCCCACGGCTACCGGCTGAGGCTGGGAACGTACACAGGGACAGCAGAGGATGCTATGAACTCAGACAATCCCAGAAACATGCACAACAACATGAAGTTCTCCACAAAAGATCAGGATCATGACACTTACAGCGGGAACTGTGCCTCCAGCTACGGGGGCGGGTGGTGGTACTCGGCCTGTTACTCTGTACGGCTGAACGTCAAGGGGGCCATAACGTGGGGCAGCCTGTGCAGCGGCAACTGCAAAGGCTCTGCCATCCTCATCAAACCAGCTCCGTACCATTAGTACTCCTTCCCCCTCCTGTCTACACTGGGCACATGGCCAGACCAGTGCCCTGCTGGGGCCTGTTTTCCTGGCTGGCGGGCCGGAGGTCAATAGGGTTGTTCCTGTATCTCAAAAGCCGTTTTCTTTTCCTCTTCTCTTGAGAAGTAGCAAAGCTCCCTGCTTTGTCTCTGGCCTTTCACTTGTGGTGGTTTTTTAAGGGACCATTGTTAGAACAAATCTTTATAAACGCTGCAGTTTCCAAGTATGTTCCTTCTGGGGAGAAAACTGTGCTCAGAAACCTAAAACCCTCCTGATCCAGCAAGGTCTTACTCTCTTTTTGCTTTGTGGGTATAGATGACTTCAGCAGAAAAATATCAGTCATCCCTGGCTAACCTGATCTAAGCTGCTCTAAGTCCAGGCAGGCCATGTACGCACCATATCCCTGCTGTAGTCTGTGTTCATCCTGCAGAATAAAATTGCTTTCAGAACCTGCACAGACATGCACAAATGTCCTTCATTTGTTTGGGAACTTCTTGCAGCTGCTGCCAGTTTCTTGCCAGGAGCAGACCTGAGGCTCCTGGTGCAGTAAGACAGGACTTTCAAAGGGAAAATTTTTCATAAGACTCAAGTGAGGAATTAAAGACAAAACTTTCACTTAAAGAAGAGAGTTGGGTTTCAAGGTGGGGATCTTTCGAGAAGGGAATGCGGTACCACATGGCCAAGAGCAAGCACTGAGGGTCGGAAGGAAGCATCAGCTCAGTTCAGCCCTACCAGCCATGACCTGGAGCTAACCAGAGACAGCAGGCCAGGCCAGCATCATCCTGCCTTGTTAACCCTGTGAATGCTGGCCCAGGCCTTGGGAGGTAACTGGAAGAGTGGACACAGAAAGGGACAACAGCACTGCAAGGGCACACAGCACTGCATGGCTGGGATACCTGAGAGAGGGTTAATAGCTGAGGCAGCCTGACATGGCAGGGATCCCAGAAGTTCAAGAGGCCTGGACCAGCTTGGGTCCATATGGGCTTGCGCCAGTGTGGTGATGTCTCTGTGCACTGGATAGCTCAACAGCGGACCTGGTACCTGTGATGTGGTCTCCCGGTGCTGAGCAGAGGGAAATGATGTCGTGCTGGCTGCGCTCTTGCTAAGACAGCCCAGGATGCAGTTCACCTTCAACACTGCAAGGGTGCATCGTTGACTCCTGGGCAAATTGCTGTTTACCAGGAACCCCAAGCCCTTTTCTGCCAAGCCTCTCCCCTCCAGTTAGGTTGTACATCCAGGCTGGAGTGCAAATGACTTTTTAAACCAGCAGACATATCTCTCAGTCCAGAAGTGCTACTCCCAAGTCAGTTCAAACTGGGAAGCCTTTTTTCAACCAGCAGCACCCTCATACATTCACCTCCCCACACATCAGGGCTGCAGGCCCACAGATGCCTCCAGGGCAGCCAAGGCTGCCTGCGCAGTCTCTTCAGGAAGACGGCACTGCCATAGCTCTGCAGGGTGCCCTGGGACCTCAGTCACAGATCTTGGCCTGAGAGTCCCAAGTTGTTCAGGATTCACAGCCACAAGCCTTCCTCGAGCTCAGGTTTTCTTCCAAAGGCAGAGGAGAGGAACCATGGCTTCCTTCAAGCCACAGTTCAAACTTCCCTCCATTGCAAAAAGATCCATAGCCACATTCCCCCTCTGCAGCAGAGTACGATGGGACTGACTTACTCACATCTCTCACGGCCTCAGGGAGCCCACCACCCTCTCCACACTCCAATCCGTGGTGGTTTCTTCCCTTTCCCAGCACAGAGCAACCACCCAGCCATGGACAGGGGCAAACTATGGGCGAGGGTTTTGCAAGCTACTGGGCTTTGCTGGCCCTGTTGGCAAATCATAGCCTTACAGCCACAGTTCAGTGCACAGTGGCTGGAAAAAGCCATTGGAAGCAATATTGTGTCCACAGACCTAAGAACCAAACCACGGACAGAATTAGGTACAATAGCTGTACTCAGCTGTGTACAGCAACTGTACTGAAGGGAGAAAAGCTCATGTTGCAGGCTGATGTTGGGGACAGTCAGCAGCAGGGAGAGTCGGTGTCAGGCCTTTCACCACAGAACATTGAAATATTTCAGAGAAAAAAAAGAAAAATCAGCACAAAACCCCTGCATGCCGCACCAGCTCTGCACCAGCTCAGCCGGGGAGCAGAGTCAGCTCCACAGCTGACCTGGCCCAGCACTGCCTGAGCAAACCATCTTGAATCCAGCAGCCACCACGCCAGTCCTGGGGGAGGTGAGCTCTGCATTTCCCAGGGAGATCTGGCATCCCTTAGGCAGGTGCGTCTCCTTGCCCAAGAGAAGACCTGCACAATACACCTACTTTCCCCCAGGTCCACCACCCCAGAGGCTGGACAGAGTGATCCCCGCACACTTATGTGCAGTGTCGCGGCGGCAGGTAGACACAAGGCAGCAAAGTTTGGCTCCAGGGTTTATTGCAGCTGATTTCTCCCACCGTGGGTAGCAGAGCTGTGGGGTGTATGGGGCCCGGGGAGGGAGCAGGGCCTGAGCAAAGCAGGGATGCACTGATTGCACAGGGAAGGGAACTTGCACTGTCTCCCCCTCCCCGGGACAGGAGTGAGCGCACCCACCCCAAACCAGTGCCTGCGTCCCAGTGCCAGCCAGCACCGTGGCACTGGGCAAAGCTGCCCGCGTGCCCGGGCTCCAGGCAATTGCTCCTGAGCCCCAGAGCCGCTGTGTTTCAGCTGGTGATGGTGCAGGAGATGCAGGCAGCGCAGGACATGCGCCGGGGCTGGCACGGGGCTGCCGGCAGGCACTGGAATGGGGCACTGAGCTGGGGACGGTGGCACTCCTGCTAACTCCTGGGAGGCTGGGCACTGCGGCACGGTCAGCAGTTCTGGCACCTGTCATACCACCAGCCCCCGTAGCTGTTGGCGCAGTTCCCGCTGTACTGGTCCTGGTCCTTGTCGGTTGTGCTGAACTTCATGTTGTCGTGTATGCCCCCCTTCTTGGGGTGATAGCTGGTCAGATAGTCATCCCCATCACCTGAAAATCGGCCCAGCCTCAGCGGGTACCCGCTAGCCTCACTCTCCACCCTGAAGATGTCGTACTCGGCGTAATGGGTGATGTTGGCTTTATTCCGTACAATGAAGCGGACCTTGTAGGTGCCCTGCTGTGTCAGCAGGTGCAGGTACTCAGTGCCCATCCAGTGATCACCCTGCACGTTCCCGAAGCCATACTTGTAGGTGGTCCAGGATTGCTTCCACGTGAGCTCAGTGTCATGAGAGTTTCTCTGGACGACAGTCCAGCCCTTGCCTTCGGTGTCCATGTCGCACCACACCACCCGTGGGGGAGATCCTGCCGGCTGGATGACATACACCCCGCTGGGGCTGGTCTTGCGGAGATGGCTGCAATCTGCAGGGAACCCTGTGACAGCAGCAGTGGCAAACAGAGGGTGGGGTGGGAGAGAGAAGGATGACTTGAGTCTGTCAGGGCAACAAGAAGCTTCTGTAGCGGAGTAAGGACTCAGGACAAAAAGGGCTGGTTTTATCTGTGGTCTACTCCACAGTGTAGAGTAGCTTTCCTACTGGCTCATCCACAGGGCTAGTCTTAGAAGGTCTCTAAGACAGTGGCTCTGGTAAGAGCCCGAGGCTCTATTTCTCATGACTTGCTATTTCGTTTGGAGCCTTCTAATGCATCTGGGCAAGAAAAGAGGGGAAAAAATTGCCCAGATGCCAGTGATATCCTCCAAGTATATCTGACCCTCACACAAGGCCCTTGATATATTGAGCTGCAGCTCTTGCAAGGATCGGAAGTGTCCAAAATGCTCCACTGGATGAGGATATGTAATAAAAATTTATGTTTTCCCTGGGGGTCATGACATTGCAAAAGGAGGCTAAGTTCTACCTTGATCTCATAGGGATCTCTTCCCCCAGCTTGTTGTAGTTTATCTGTGAGCAGGACTGATTTGTCATGACTTACTTGCCAAACTAATTTGCTGTCTAGTTTGTTTTTCTTGTTTTGTGTCTGATGAGGGACAATTTGCTGTGGGTAACTCCAATTCAGCCCATGAAATTCTGTTTTTCTCGGGCACACGGGTCTTGCAGGGAGTGTAACCCTCCCTTGCAGGGAGGAAGGGAGTACTCCTAATCCAACAAGAGCTAAAAAATAAAAAAAAAATTGCTGGGAAGATCTCTCCTAGAACTGAAGTGCAAAAAGACACAAGCACCACAGAGCAATCCTGCCAAGTTATGGTGTTGGGGCAGAAACCCCTTGGTTTCAGCATGGAGCCACCAAGGGGGTGAGGATGGCTGGACAGGTGTCGGGCTGCTTACCTTACAAGCCATGGCCCAGGGGTTTGTTTGTGAAGAGTTCTTGTGTTGTGCATCAGCCTGGGTGCATGCTGGCCTTCCTAGCACTTAGCAGACCCGAGAGTCAGTCTAAGCTGACTAGGGAGACTCTTTCTTGCTCTGTGCCTTGGTGCCCAGCCAGTGCCCCCCACCCACTCCGTACTCACCACCCCGGGAGCTGGCAGTGGGTGCTGCTGGGCCAGCACTTGCACAGAGGAGAAGCATTGCCACCACTGTGGGTAGGAGGACAAGGTCCCCACGGAGCCAACTTGTCCCAGCCTGGAGCCCTAGGGAGAAAAGGGCCCAGAACCATTAGGATCCCTGGGCAGCCCCCTCTGCCCCTGCCAACAGCCCCTGGGGAGCTCGGACCAGGGAAGGCGAGCCACGGGGCACAGGCAGGAGCAGGGGGCTCCCAGGGTGGTGGGAGGCTCTGCCTCTGCAGCGCTGAAGTAAGGTGAGAAATAGCTTTGTCACTCTCCTGATCAGCCCCTTCTCTGCACCAGATAGCAACCTGCAGATCTGTTCTCAGAACCTACAGCCCAAGAGTACCCAAGAGAGGACAATGACACAGCTAGATCTGGGGAGAGTAGTTTGCCAGGGGGGAGGGATCACAACAGTTCTTTTTGGAGTAATCATGCTTAAGCCACTCCAGCCCAATGACAGCTAGCAGGAAACCAGATCCAAAGGATGGGTCCTATTGCACAGATACCAGCTCCCAAGCAGACAGGAGGAAGTCTCCTGGGCCCACACAATGACACAAGCCCAAACCCTCTGTGCTGGCCCCCAGCACACCCCTACACTCTGCACAAGCTCAGTTACCAGGGGAGATGCTATCATGCCTGGGGAAAGACCCCTGTGCAACCACATGTGCCACATGCATTGGTCAGGAAGGGAAAGGACCGAGTTGAAATCTAGGTCTCCACATTAACCTTCCTTGACAGGACATGGGAAGACAGGGCATAGGTAGCCTGGGGAAAGCATAGGCTGGCACCAAGCATGTGTATCGTTTGGTGCTTTGGTCTTGCACCCTTTCTGCTACCAGGGTGCCTGGCAGCATGCATATCACCCCGGCAAGATCATGGCTGCTGTCCTGCTAATCATCTTATGCCTTTGTATACTCACCCCAGTCAGGTCTTGTTTGAGCCCAGCACCACACATGAATGCAGTGTGCTGCTGGGAAGATAACTCACCCATCACAACAGCACGGCTGAGCAGAGAGCAGGAACCCAGTGGTGCACCCTCCCGTGCCGAGCTTTCCACCATGACTTTATAGGCACTGCACACACCCACTTGTGTTCACACTTGTTATTTGTAGAGGCACAAGGAGGCCCTTGCAGATTGCGACTCGAGCAGTTTTCAGATCCCATGACAACACGGCTAAACCCCCTGAGGGGAGGGAGGCATGCCCTTCCAGATGGAGAAGTACAAAATAATCCCCTTTTCAATTATTGACTCTCTCAGCTACAGAAACACTACATGTGAATTGCCCACTTGGAGCAAATTCTGGAGAGCCATGATCAAACTGAAGTGGAGAGACCCAGCTTTTTAAGGACATACACACAGAAACTAGTAAAGGAGGAGAGATTAGGTGACCTTGGAAAGATGAGGATAGGTCCTCAAGAGACGTGCCTGCTTGCTAACTCTCCACTGGCAGGTTTCAGGATCAATGAGTTAATTCATTGGGCTGGAACCAGTGTCCAGCAGCCAGAAGTCACTGCATACACAATGTCCCCTGGCACCCCAATCTGCATGCTCTGAGTAGAGGGCAACGGTTCCAGGTAACAAGCAGGTGCCTGTAGGTCCCTTTGCCAGCCCCAGCAATGTCGACCAGGGGTTGCTCCCTCTACAGGAGCAAAATGCTCTCAGGACATATTGTTTGGGAGCGCTGTTCTTGGTGCCAGAAGGTGCAGATAGCTTCATCGGTTTGTCAAGCCAATTTTAAGAGGATAAAGTTGTGGCCCTTCTACTTTCTTCTGTTGGTTTCAGTGGCCTACTGACCAGATGCCTTCTTCATGGCACAGCTCTAAACTTGATGTTCACAGCAAGCCAGTGCCAAGGGGAGGCTCCCACCAAACTTTCTGTACTGCAGGAGCCCACATCAGGCAGTGCAACTTGCAGGTCTGGATGGACAGCGGCATCCAGACCTCTCCAAGGTAAGGGATCCCTGGATCAACTTCTGTCTGCACTCTTAGATCTCACCCCTGCTTGCTTGGTTAGAGGTTGGGAGCCCTTGTCTGCAGCCTCATTTGGCTTGGGAGAATCATAAAAGCAGCACTCCCAAGTCTACGGAGGGAGGAGGGCCCAATGTGCCCTAGGAAGAAGGACCCCAGGCAGAGGGGCCATGTCCCCTTCCTCTGGGGGCAAGGGAATTGGGTGACCTGGGGGCTCCCATGGGCTACTGCCAGAGCTAACACCAGCACTGAGCAATGCAATGCCTCGGGGCATAGTGGGGTGCCTGTGCCAGGGCTGCCAGGAAGGCTGCTGCTGGTGAGCCACCACTGGGACCACTGCTGGCAACAGGGCTGCCAGATGCAGTGGGAACAAGGGCCCATGGAGAGGAAGGCCTCCCCTGCCCCTGTGTGCAGCAGGCTGCACAGGGCTGCTCCAAATAGATGCAAATGGTGTTTCCTTCAAAGAAACTGTGTCAACAGGACAGCTTATCTACAGTCCAGCAGAGACCCTGGTTCTGACTTTAGCTCAAATATTCCAGGTGTCTTCAAAGCTATCAAACAAAGGTTTTCTAAACCATGCTGACGTGGGACCTCTTTCTAAGAAGGCAGCTGCGAGAGGATCTCTGAGCAGATACAGGCTGGAAGCAGAGCTGAGGACAACAACCAGTGGTTGCACTCCAGAGAGGCAGAGCAGGGGACACCGTGCAGGACTCAAGGGAGGAGAAGGAAGGCGTGAGCCAGCAATCTGGGAGCAGAAAAGGATGGCTGCTCCCCATGGGCGGGCAAGTCAGAAGCCAAGGTTGAACACCGAGGAGGCAATGCCCTTTCTGGTGGAGCTCTGTCCTGCCGGGTCCAAGCACAGAGGCAGAGCTGAGTGTTGGCAACAGCTCCAAGCAAGGCAAGCAGTCAGCTGGCCCAAGATCCTGGACAAAAGGACACAGTGCAAAGGGCAGGGCTGGAGATAAGCTACGACATGGATCTGAGTGGTCCATCCAGGAAATAAGCTATCTGCAGTGCAGGTCTAAGATCCATCCAGAAAGTAAGGCCAGAGAGGGGACTGGAGGCCAGTATTCATACAGTGTGGCTTAGGTTAGGACTGAAGGCCCAGGGCCGAGCTGAAACAGGCCTCGTGGGCCTAGATGAAGGTCCCAGGTGGGACTGGCCACCAGCCATTAAGGCTTACTGGTGCAGTCAGGGCCATGACAGTAGCAGTTAATCCTGAAAGAGCAAATCACACCAGCCTGGCTGGCTGTATGGGTCCCTCATGCTCCATAGGCCCTCAGGCTTTTGCTACAGCTCTTTCAGCTTACAAAGTGGCTTCTCAAAGCACATTCTGCTGCGGCCAGCTCTGCATCTTGCACAAGGCCTGGCACCATGGCTGTGCTCCTGCAGAAATACAGATGCATAAGGGTTGGGGAGGGGGCTCTTCAGAGAACCAGAGAAACACAGGGTAACCAAGACCAGGAGGACCTCCGAATGTCTCTGGTCTGATCTCGAGGCCAAAGCAGGGACAACTTAGAATGGGTTGCTTAGGGTTATGTCTAGATCAGTTGTGAATATGTCAAGGAATGGAGGTCCCACAGCTTCTCTTTTTTCTTTTTTCAGTCTTTGAACACCCTCAAGCTGATTTTTTTTTAATCTAATTCTGATTTCCCTCCTTTCCCTTATGTTCATTGCCTGTCATCCTATCCCCGTGCATCTCCAAGAACAGTCGTAGAATCACAGGGTGATAGAATAATTTAGGTTGGGAGGGACCTCTGGAGGCCATCTAATCCAACCCCTGCTCAAAGCAGATCTAAAAAAATCAGGTCCTTGTCCAGTCAAGTCTTGAACACCTCTAAGGACAGAAATCCCACAGTCTCTCTCTGGGCACCTGTTCCAGTATTTGACCAACCTCATGTTAAAAAAAAAAAGCCCCTATTTCTAACAGGAATTTCCATGTTCCGACTTAGATCCATTGCTTCTCATCCCACCACCATGCACCTCCTTGAACAGTCTGGCTCCATGTTCTCTGTACCCTCCCACAAGATATTTGTAGTTAGCAATAAGATAATAATAAGATAATAGCAATAATTTGCCTGCTCTTCTCCAGGTGGAGCAAGCCCAGTTCTCTCAGATTCTCCTGACATGTCCTGAGCTCCAGGCCCCTGACCAGTCTGGTGGCCTCTGCTGGACTTGCTCCAGTCAGTCAACAGGTTTCTTGTAATGAGGGATCCAAAATGAGACACAGTGCTCTGAGGAGCCTGACTCCATCTGCTCTCCACCCTCCCACCAGGTAGCTGTAGGCAGCAACAAGATCCCATCTCAGCCTTCCCTTCTCCAGGCTGAACAAGCCCATCTTTCTCAGCCTGTCCACATATATCATGTGCTCCTGCCTCGACTGTCTTGGTGGTCTTGGCTGGACTCCTTCTGGAGCTTTAGTTGCTGTTGTGTATGGGGGAGCCCCACACAGGACACAGCCCTCTGGCTGTCGTCTCACACGTGGGAGTGAATAATCCCTTTCCTCACCCTCCTGGCTGCATTTTTCCAGATGCAGCCCAGGATGCAGCAATAAACAGATCTGTGCCATAACTGTGGCTCTTTCAATATCAGACATGTACAGAGCAGGAGCTGGGCCCCGGGACACAGCTCGGGTTTCAGAGAAATCCCCTCTATGGCCTTCCCCCTGCCTGCTTTGTACATCTTAACCCAAACACTGGCCACAGCCTCCTGGAAAGGTTGGCCGGGGACTGGAAGGTGTTGGTGAAGCTCTGCTGAGGGTTGCTGCCTGCCTTTGCTTGCATCTGCTGTTGAGCAGAAGCAGCAGCACAGCAGGGCACGCACAGGAGCCTCCATGACCAGGCAGCCACACTGCAAGCAAACGGCCTGTGACAAAAGCCCAGCCTGCTCCTCCACAGGCTCTGGCCATCTTGTGCTGTTACCGGAAAGCGGCAAAATAATTCACTCTCCAAAACTTAATTTTGGAGTTTCAGAAAGCAGGCATTCTTTATTGCGGTGCCGGGCAGCACTGGGGATAATTCCACCATAAGTGCTCCGATGGCTTGATAAACTTTCAGTAATTATATACTATGAAAATATACATATTCATAGGATTTCCAAGAATTCATCTACATAAACATGAGATTTCCTAGAACTTATAAACATATGTAAATGTCTGATCCACATGTGCAATCATCTTCCGTGGTGGTCTTCAGGTGGTCTTTGGGGGTCTTCAGATGAAGGCTCGTAGTCTTCTTCACTGTGTTCGCTGACTGACCTTTACTTCTGCGCAAACTCAGTTCTGGGATCACGTATACTATGACCTTCAAGGTCGGTTTGTTCTGGTCTAATGGTCATCTTGCAACTTTCTTATCCTCATGGTTCTTCACATCTGCTCTCCCAAGGCCTAGCTGTCTAAAGGGGAGTATTCAGGAGCTTCTTACCTTACAAGCGTCTTAACTATTCACCAAGATTTGCTTTTGTTTGGTTACATCTGTTGTATAATGATTCTAACTACTTAAATTGATAGCTTCTATCTATATTCGCAGGTATCAGTGCTGTGCAGAACAAGGTCGATGCTGGAGTACCGGAGTCCTCATAACTCAGAATACTGTGGGTATTGATCCCTAGGAAAAGGATGGTCTGAAATTTTCTGTAAGAAATCCATGGCGTAAGCACTCCTAGTATCAGAGAGGGGCTTGAAGTGAGACTATTTTACATCAGTGTCACGTCACGATTCCCAAAACTCCCTTGTGACTGCTGCAAGGGCTGTGGTGCCAGGGGCGTCCACAGTGCACGTTGCACAAGAGGCAGTGTGGTGGTGGCACGTCAGAAGGCAACTGGAGTGGCACTTTCTGAAGTTCGGTGCACAATTTGCCAGGAACACTGGAGTACCTCTTCCCTGAAGTGTCTGATGGGGTCCCCAGTGGCTGTTGGGATCAATGCCTGCTCTGGAGAGAGTGATTTACGCCTAATGTTTGATTTCCATCCAGGAGGGGGAATGTCATCTGGGTATTTACCTACGAGTTGAAATGTGTGGAGGTTCCCAGAGGATGCCGTTCCCTGGGGAAACCCTGCCAGGGCAGGGGGGCAGCCAGGCACTGCAAATCGCAGTTGTTTTAACGCATTTGCTTATTGGCACCAAATTATTTGCTTTGCCTCTGAAGAAAGCTCTTCACCTTTGTGAGACACAGCCTTCATTGTCTGAAGACATATCACTTAATGATGAAGAGCAAATAAGCCGTAAACCACTAGTCCTGCTGCCAACCAGAAGACAAGGGCTGTGTTTTGGGTCTCGTGCCTCCACCCACTCACCTGCTGAGCCATATAACTTTCGGGCTGGACACCCCTCCAGCCAGGCCAAACCTGTTCAGCTTCCCGCTCCGCAGGGTTCCCGCAGAGACGGCATGGGTGAGTGTGGGATGGGACGGGACGGGACGGCACCGCTGCGTGTGGCTGCGGGTCACAGGGCATCCCGGCACTTTGTCTTCTGCAGGGCTCCCTTGTCCCCACACCCTGGCCATCCCAGCGCTAAGTCCACTACACTGTCTGGGCTCGCTGTGCCCTGGGCTGGGAACCAGAGCAGGAGTCTGCGTGTTCTCTTCTTTTCAGGCTGTATCAGTGCAGCTCTGGAGTGCCAGGTAGCCCATTTTACAAGCCTCATGTTTAGCAAACATTCTTTGTAATTTTCAGTTCTCCAAGGAAAGTATTAAATACCCTAGAATAGAAAATGGATTTTTTTAGATATTCTTGCTTAAGGAGCAATATTGAACAGGTATCAAGATCTGGAGCTTAGATGCTCAGAAGCACACCACTGTCCCCAGAAGGACACCCAGGAGAGGCTGATCCTCTCCCCTGCGTCTCCTTCCTACCCAGACCTTTCATGACCATTCATGGGGGAATAAGCCAGCAGTGGAGGGAGCACTGATTCTCTGGTGTCCTAAAGAAGAGATGTCTTTAAACGTGCCCTAAACACAAGTGTATCAAGACACTAAATGTTATGTAGGAATTGAGAAGCAAATCGGTTGGACTGAGGTGTGTTTAAAAGACCTTTGCTGTAAAACTGCAACCAGCACAAATGGCTGGGGCAGCTCTGAGCATTCGCAGAAAGGGGTGCTTGCCTCTAGGGTGGCTGCAATCGCACACAGCGGTTCCGGGCCAGCATCATTGTTTTCCTTCTCAGTCATCCCAGGGAACGGTGCCAAAGCCGGGTATCCCAGGGCAGTGCAATAAGTTTGGCTCTGCTGCGTTTCAAACAGCGGAGGGATCACATTGGTGATCTGCCAGGGTGAGCTACCTCTATCATATCATGAACAGATTTCCCCATGGGCAGGTGTCTCCCATTCTCTAGGAATCGTGATAAACTTTTTATTATTTTATTTAGATTTAGTATTGCAAAAAGTGTGCTGGTTTCCCTAGCTGCTCTGAACAAGAAGAAACCGGAGAAGCTGGCTGCATATGGAAATTTTGAAGTAGTCATATAACCATAGAAAGGACATAATTTGGACCAGCCAGGCAGGAATTCCCAAAAGTTTGTGCTGCCCTTCTCAGTCATGCTACTTTCATGCAGAGCAGAGAAATACACACAGCCCTGCCTGGGGCTTGTTCCCACCCAGAGATCTGGGTTCTCACTGCCCACAAACCTGGACTGGAAGGAGGGGTAGTTCCAGCTTACACCAGGTGAGTGTGTCACGGGAGCGTGATGGGAGCTGGGAGGAAAGGGGATTCCTCCCTCCATGCTCATCCTGCTTGTTATCTCCAGCTCCAAGACTTGTTTTTTACAGGGATTTCTGATTACCGTCACTTTGGGTTTGGACAAGGTTTTCACACTTCTTCTGTCTCAAAAACCACTAACAGCAGGTGCCACCGCTAATGACTCCTGCCAACGAGCATAGGACAGCTCATCTAAATGAGTGAATTGGGGCTTATGGCTCCAAGAGGGAGCTCTACATGTAAAGAATTTTATTTTCCTATTTTACTCTGCAAGTAAAGGAGTCAAACGGGATTCATGGCTCTCTAATGGAAGAGTTATGATCGATCTCTTCTTTTTCTAATCTCTTCTCATTTCAGCTACCCAGCGCCTTTGTCTCCTGCTTTTCACCTGCCTGCTGGCCCCGGCAGCATCTCTTCCTGCCTTTGACATAAGAAACTTGCATCTCCTCAATGGCACGCTGGATGAAATTATGAATGTTCCCCCAGAGTCCACCCAGCTCGGTAAGTATACCACTACAATAGGGAGAGGCAAACGAGGTCACGTTCAGTCAGATCCTACCCAGACCTCCTCAGCAGCCTAAGCACACGCCTGTAACAGGGAGGGAGGACTAAATAGTGCTCTATGTGTGGGCAATGCCAATGCAACGTAGGCTGTCTTACTGAATCATCTCAGAGTCCTCCTCTGCTTGCTGCCTGTCTCCTCTCCTGTCTGGCATGAAGTTCTTCTGCCCATAAGTGAGTCCCATAGTCCAAATCCCAGAGTTCACAGGATCCCAGGAGAAGGGAGAGGTTCGGTCTCATTGGCAGCAAGACCAAGCCAAGAGTGTTGTTGGCCATGGGCTCTTCCTTGGAGAAGCAGTGTTAAAGATGTTAAGGCAAACAATCACAGTGTGTTTTGAGGACATGAAAAACAGTAGCCGCCTCTGGAAATCATAAGGTCAGTGGAGAACTGAATTCAAGAGTGAAGTGCATACAAAGAGGAACTAAGTGAAGTTAATACAAAGAGTCTAAGCAGTGGCACTGACACAGAGCAATCGGCCAGACGATGTCACAGAGTAGCCTACAAATACCAGGGTATATTGGAGCAATGAGGAAGCCTCCAAGAAATGCTCCTGGAATAAAACTGGGGGCTGTGGGTGGGACATGACATGACAGAAAGAGCTGGTTCCCTTCCAAGGGAGGAGGAAGAGTTCTTGGCAGAAGAGCTCAAGGTCCAAGTGTTTGACGCTGGTTTCACATCAGCCTTCACTGCAAAGGTCAGCTGTCAGAAAACTGCCAACACAGGGAGCACCTGTGACTGAGACAAGAGCTTGGGCTTCACCAAGAACTGCAAGTCTGAGTAGAGAAAGGGGACGTGCTCTGGGCCTCACGCTCATCTCTCACCCAGACCACTGGTAGGGTGCTCTGAAAACAAGAGCAGCATGAATGCAAGATGGGTAAGTATGGGCATGCCAGAGAAGACAGGCTAACATTCGAAAGTCTTGACTTGTGGAGGAGTGCTTCCAAATGGATGGGAAGTGAAGGCAGAAAGGAGCAGGGGCAGACTGTCACTTACAAAACAAACGTGAGTGAACAGCTTCATATGGCTGTGGTAAAAGTAAATACCATGGTAGGAAAGTCCTCTAGACCACGTTACGTGAGTGTTTCCCACTCCACACAGGCTCAGGCTAACCACCATGTTCACTGGTGGGCTTTGAGACACATTTGGAGAGAGTCAAAAGGAAAGGGGTCAAAAATCTGGCAGGCAGACTGTGTGAGGGAAGGCTGAAGAGCTGAATGGTTTAGCCCCAAAATCAGAAGACCATGGAGGAGGAATTAATAGCAGTATTACAGTCTGTCTGCAGGAAAAAGTGTCCTCTGGGTGTAGTAAGAGAAGGAATGGGCTTATACACAGTGCAAGAGGCTTAAGTTAAACACTTCATAAGGGAGGGGATAGGAAAGCACCAGCTGAGAGTGAAAGCAGGGAGCAGGTATTTGAGGATGTCAGGGAGCAGCGGCTGCAGGGTTAGGCATCTGTTTCAGAGAGGGGACAGGAATGGCTTTTGTGATTCCGTAAGCCTGTGATTCATTCTTCTGTTTTGTAGCCATCAGTGGATACACAGAAGATGTCCTTGCAAAAGAATTGCATTAACTCACTCTAAACCATCTTCTCTTCCAGCAACACCCTTCAAGTTCCGTTCTGACCCAGCTGAGCAGAGCCCCTCTCCCAGATCCTGATATCTGCACCAGTTTTCCTGTGCCTGCTCTCACGTTTCTTCCCCTTGTAATCCCTCTTCTTCCTGAGTCCCTTCCTAACTGCTTCTACTGCACTTTAACAACCATCTTTCCAGTGTTGCCACCACCATTCGGGGTCTTTCCCCCACACTCTGTGCCCAAATCCTTCTCACCAAAGAAGCATCTGCCACCACGTAAACTCCCCCGAACTACCAACTGGCTGATACATGAAATGGCAAAGTCCCTCTGGAATTAGGAGCAACAACAGAGAAACAGGAATATCACCTGGAGAAGACTGTGCTCTCCCAGCAGGCATTTGACATGTCTATTCTCAGCCCTCACTCCTGTCTCCTCTGTTCTTGTTAATTCAGATAACGGTGACGAACATGTTCGACAGGTCAGAGACATTGCCCCCCACCCACTGGCGGGCCATGGTAAGTCTCTTCTCAAGGAGTACATCTGCTCATAAGGTTTCACAATTCCTGGACTCATGAAGAGCTCTCAGGCACCTTAGCCCATGTCCTACATGTGCACTGGCTCCTGCCAGGAAAAATGTTGATTTTCTGATAGGTTGTGGAGGTGCCACAGCTCATAACCTCAGGGGGACTCTATGACCAGCCATGTCCTGGACTCAGCAGTTGATGAGGATCTTTAGCATGGGGAATTTTCCACCTAAAGATCCAAACTGGAAAGTGATGATTCATTATTGGCCTTTGGGAAGTGGTGATTGGTTATTTTCCTGTTTTCACTATACAGTTGATGTGAATGACAGGGACTGACTGTGTTACTGAACTGACTGAGTCAACATTAGCCCATAGGACCGCAAGATAGATCCTATCTGGGTAGGAATAACCAGTAGCAGAGGTCCTAGGAGCAGAGCAAGTCCCTTCCCAGAAGTGTGTAGGTGCATTCAGCTGTTTGTTGTATAAGGGGCTGACACTTTGGAGCATGGAAAGATCATAATCAAATCACACAAGTCAGGAAGTCTCTAAAGAGCTACTCGGGTAAGCCCAGAGAAAACCGACGGATTTGCCCTATTGAGATCACAAGGGCCGATTTAATTATTAGCAATATGGATGTCTTGATCACACTCTCTCCAGGGTTCCTGAGATTACTATAAAGCTCTAAAGCCTCCATGCTGTAACAGCAAATGGCTTTATAATTCAGATTTGCATTTGTCTGTGTGGTGATACATCACCTGCATGCTACAGGCAAATCACCACAGCGCTGCAAGACTGAATCCAGCCTGGGCTAGGGTGCACTGTGTGCTGGGTGAAGGCAATGTCTGGCTTGGTCTCACCAGGCCAAGACATTTTGGCAATGTGTCCCCATCAGTTTGAATCCCGTCTTGGGAAGATACGAAGCCCAACTCTTACATTGATCATTTCAAGACTTTGATTTACTCCTGTCAGTACATGGCAGGAACACAAGACCAAGAATGTGTGTGCAATAGGATATAGGCACAAAAGAAATATCAGGTGCTTTCAGTGTCTCATTGTGTGGGATTTAATAACCATCTCTTTCCTGCCGCAGGTTGGCCCAAGGACTGCAGCGAGATCCCTCCTGGCAGCCGCAGCGGTGTCTACATCATCCAGCCAAAAGGGCTCCACCACCTCGTGGTGTACTGTGAAATGAATACGACAAACGGGGGCTGGACGGTCATCCAGAGGAACCAGAAAGACACACCAGTCACCTGGGCCGAGTCCTGGAGCACCTACAAGTACGGCTTTGGGAGCGTGCGCAGCGAGTACTGGCTGGGCACTGAGTACATCCATCAGATCGCCAAGCAGAAGGTCTACCAGGTCAGGTTTATCATCCAGGACTCCAGCGACAACACCAATTTCGCAGACTACAACCTCTTCAGCGTGGAAGATGAGTCCCATGGCTACCGGCTGAGGCTGGGCTCCTACACAGGGACGGCGGGGGATGCCATGACCTCAGACAATCCCAACACCATGCATGACAACATGAAGTTCTCCACAAAGGATCGGGATCAGGACACTTACAGTAAGAACTGTGCCTACAGCTATGAGGGCGGGTGGTGGTACTCGGCCTGTTATTCTGTACGACTGAATTTCAAGGGCGGCATGACATGGGGCAACCTGTGCAAAGGGAACTGCAAATCCTCCCTCATCCTCATCAAACCAGCCTCATATTGTTAATGCTTCTTCCCTCTCCTGTCCACACTGGACACTCTGCCGAGGCTCTGCATGGCCAAAGAGCTTGAGCCTTTCTGGAGCAGAGAGGGGAGCCCAAGGGTAGCAGGGTTTTAGTGAAATGCCACTTTCCATTTCCCCTCTCCGAGTGCAGGCTCCCCCTCTGCTCAGCTCTTTTCCCCTGTGCTTGCCAATGATTCCTTGTTATTACGTTCATAATCAAGAATAAAAAAAATCACTTGTGAAATTTGTGGATTCCACATGTACCTTCCCTGCGGGAGGCAGACACTCAGCCCTGGAGTGACTTCATCAGGGTTTCTTAGCTGTCTCCAGAACTCACAGCAAGAAAAAAAGCTCCATGCCACAAATTTCCATATACTCTGTGCCTCTCTGCAGTGCCTGGTAAAGCATCCCAATAAATTTGCTTCCTTGAGCTCATTCTCCATTAATGAATGTCTGTTCTCTCTGATGTGCTCCCCGAAGAAATCCCATGGCAGGTGCTAGGGCGGGAGTCTTGGGGCTTATGGAGGGGAAAAGCCTTGAGTAGTTCTCACAGGAATGAATGTGAGAAAATTAACTCTAGTTGCACAGAGACAAAGGCCCCGTGATCTGCACAGAAGAGTTCAGAAGGGACCTGTCACATGGGAGAACTCTTCCCACATCATCGCCACGTTCACAGTCCAGGGTCAAAAGCTGTGGCAACGTCCTGGTGCCAAGGTCCCGCTCCTGCTGGGAGGCCGCCTCTGTCAGGGTTTGTCGCTACCTGTCTGTCTGCACAGTCATGCTTTGATCCTGCGGAAACATGATTTCAAAGGCATCAGTAGATCTGTCTGCTGTGACTGAGAAGCAATGAACTTAAATGGGAGCAAGAGAGAAGTAGGTTAGATGTTAGGCATCACCCGAATTAGGACACCCTCTTAATGAGGGAAGAGCTCATGACAGGAATGGGCTCCCCATAGCCAGGTTTCTGAGACCAATTTAGATGAACCTTTGCCAGGAAAGGTGCAGACAGAGCTGATGCTGGGAGGCTGCAGGACGAGGCCCCTACAGCTCCTCCAGCCCACAACACTGGGGCACTGCCAGGACAGACTGTTTGAGAAGCACTTTCACCTTCACAAACCATTTCTGGCTTTGTCTTGGGGCAGCACAGCAACAGCAGTGAGTTCCACTTCCAGGACCAACGGCTAAGGGAAAATCCAGCCCTCGCCTGCCAGCTGCAGAGCCCAGTGCCCACTGGGAGCCATCTAGAAAGCTTTCAGAAATTAGAAAATACTGAAAGAAGTGAGCAGTGGAGCATCTCTGAGCCAGAAAATACCTTACACCGCTCCAGAGACCTGCCCTCAGCACTGCAGAGCATGGGGGCACCCGCACCTGGGGGACGTCTGAGGAAAGAGAGAGCTCAGAGCTGCTGAAAGCAGCTCTCGGGTGAAGCAGGCTGCTTCTCTCCTGAGAGCCTCCAGCACCAAGCACTGAGCACAGAGGACTGGTGGCACCTCTGAGTACAGCCCATGCCAGAGGCTCTTGCTCTGGCTGGAGTCCCCACTTGGCCTCGGAAGGTGTCCCTTCGGGGACTCTGCAGTGCCAGATGACCCGCTCCAGAGATGGGAGCATCTTCAGCCTTGGTGGTGAATTTGGCACCCCAAATTCAATGAGATACAGCCCTCTGCAGCCTGGTCTGGTTTTGGGATCAACTCTGCCATGCAGAGGTTGGACTGGAAATCCCAGAAGTGCCTCTCCTGACACCAGTTATCCTCTGAGACAGAGAGGGACGTTCACCCTGAGCAACGGCCATGCCGGCCTTGCAATGGGCACCACAGCAGAGCGAGGGGGGACACAGGGCAGCTCCCTGATGGACTTGGCTTTGGCTGGAAGAGAGGCTCTCCCGCCCCAGGGGCACGAGATGGCAGGGGCAGGTGGAGGATGGCTGTCAGGAAGGTGCCCCCACCCCAAAGTGCCCCCAGAGCGGATATGGCTTCCAAAGCCAGCAGGCTCCATGCATCAGGTGGCACTGGGCAGACTGTGAAATGACACTGCTGCTGCTCCTGGGCCTCTGGGGTTTCCAAGCAATGGGCAAAATTGGAGTTGCAGTTGCACTTCTAGACTAAGGAGCAAACGGTTCTCGTCCCAGCAGTGCTGTCTTCTGCTAGGGCTCTCCAAAGGCGGTGGAGAGACACAGGCCAGGAGATGCAGGAGAGCATCCTAAAATACCCTCACAGTACAACAGGGCTGGCACCCACCGGCCCAGGAGGATGGGCTCAGCGAGCGGGTGTCTCTGCATTGCCCTCTTGTCCCTCTACCACAGCACGTCCCAGTGTACAGACAGGTTCTCATCTCTCCTACAACAGCACCAGCTCCGCACAGCTCCTTACTCCAAGCCACCCATCCAAATGCTTCCTAAATCCTGCTGGGCTCTTGGCCACCCAAAGCAGTGACCTCCAGCCCCCAGCAGCTCCCTGGCAGCTCCCCTTCGCTCAGCTCCAGCAGCCAGCGTTGGTCTGAGGTGACACCAGAAGTCACGCAGTGGACATTAAATGCCGTCTCCCACCAGATATTTGCTCCATGGAAATGTCCTGGCCAGGACAGAGCAGTCCCCGCCCCAGCAGCGGTGCAGGGCTCTGCCTGTAGCTGCGGTTTTTCACTGAGGTAAAACTTCCCCGGGAAGCAATCCCCACCTCCCGTCAGCTCCTGGTTTGCTACTTTCCCCCAGCTTCTCCACCGCATCTTTTACTTAAAGAGTAAGAACAGAGCAAAAGGTACGAGGAGCGTTTCCCGCACAGAGATGTCCCGAAGCGGAGCTGAGAGCCCTCAGGCAGGTTTCTGCTCCCTGAATTTTTCTTTTAGGTCTCCAAATCCCTGCAAACACCACAACACCCTGCGGCGAGCAGTTCCCCATCGCGAGCGGGCCAGCGTTCCCACCTCTCCCTTCCCAAGGGACGAAGGGGGCCTGCACAGGGCCGGCAGGGACAGGGCGCCTCAGCGCTCCCTGTCCTGAGCCGATGGCTGCAGCAGTGCCAGGGTGTCCACAGGATGCACAAGTGCAGCGCCGTGAAGTACAGGATGAGGCCAGTGCAGTGACAAGCAGGACGCATGCAGCGTGGTGCAGTATGCAGCACACACAGTGCAGCACAGGATGCACGCAGCGGGGTGCAGTGCGGGATGCACACATGGAGGTGCGGGATGCACGCAGTGGGGTGCAGTGCAGGACACACATGGAGGTGCAGGATGCACGCATGGAGGTGCGGGATGCACGCAGTGGGGTGCAGTGCAGGACATGAATGGAGGTGCAGGATGCACGCAGCGGGGTGCAGTGCAGGACATGAATGGAGGTGCAGGATGCACGCAGCGGGGTGCAGTGCGGGATGCA